CACTTACAGTGCATTCCTATGCATTATTACCTAGAAGTATAACCCACTATGTCCACTTCACCATAATAAATGTGTGAGGGTCTTAGTCATTTCCCTTGGGGAATTTATTATATATCTATAGCAGACATCCCCAACCTTTGGCCCTCCAGACATTTTGGACTACAATTCCAATCATCCCTGACCGCTGGTCCTGTTAGCTAGGGATCATGGGAGTTGTAGGCCGAAATATATGGTGGGCCGTAGGTTGGGGATGCCTGATCTACAGCAACAAACAGAGATGGAAACCAATGTTGTTCTTCCCTTCCCTGAATATGGAAGTTTCTTACAAGTAATGGGGGGGGGGGTTACTTTCATCCACCATTCCCAGAGCTGAAGAGCCCATCATTTCTCTTGCTTCTCACCATTTACACATGGCAATGGTCCATAGCTTACCCATAGAGCACATCCTTTATATACCAAAGGACTCAAGTTTGATCCCTGGAATCTCTGGGAAATATAAGTTGTCCTAGTTTACAGAAGAGAGTCCTTTGTCTGATGCTTATTTGAAGATAAAGCGGGAGCCTAAAAATTGCCCAACACCTTGCACATGTCCAGGCACGCAGGTAACCCAATTTCAATCTTCTCCACTATGATGAGATGTATTTCCTTTTAAATTATAAGTAGTTACTTCTCTGTGTGTGCGCGCATATGCTTATATTTTGGGGGTACATAAATGACCGGCCTGTGGTAGGCAGATATCTCTTTTTTTATATAATAATCTTTTTTATTCAGTTTTACACTACACATTTAAATTCAAACATTAGACATAATCACCAACATTTAGGATTCCCTGAATCTTTAGACTTCCCTCTACCCTTCCATGGTTTTCATTTTCAATCTTTTTCAACTGCATCATATATTTTCTCGATTTTTCTTAAAATAATCCATTTCCCCCTTAGTTTTTTGTACATTACAAGCATTACTCAAATCCTGCCAAAGTTTTTAGTTGTTTACAGTGGTAGGCAGATATCTCAGCTAGGAACGTTGAGGAAAAACCTCATGCAGAGGGTGCCATTCTGAACACAGCAGGCTCCCTGCTGCAGATATTTGCCGCACATGTAGACAGCACATTGGGTTTGGCAGCAGCTAGCCCATTCCATACCCTCCAGCATGTCACCATGGAAAACCAGGGTGCACATCTTCTGGGTTCCGCTTCCGTGCCAGTCACATCACCAGTGCGAGATCGCAAAAGACATGCGTGTTTTGAGGCACTGTGCCTTTGAGAGTATGGCCTGAAAAAATGGGGTGTCCCAATTTAATTGGGCAGTTGAGGTGTATGCCATTCATCCCCACTCTCCTCCATTGTGTGAGAAGAAGAATACCTGGAGTTCCTCAATAAAGGTCTGTAATATGCATGTGTGGAACGGGGTGTGTGTGTAAAATCTCAGTTGGCTACTCTAATTGGGTCACTTGCTTGTCTCCACATAACAGCCATTACATGTAAAGCAATCCTAGGCCTGCCACAAGAGAGATAATATATTTCTTTGGAATCCACCACCTCCCTTCCCTAGATGATTTTGCTTTAATCTACAGGAATCAGGAGGGGTTTCCTGTCACATAAATTACAGCAATTCTCTGGTAATGATAATTTAGACGTTTTCCTTATTAGGCAATATTGTTGCAAAGATAATCATTTCCCTCCACGAAAAAAGTGGATGTTTTCCTTTTCTTCTGGTTAAAAACAGAGTTCAGGACTGAGGGAAATATATTAGTGCAATATATCTTCAGATTACCACTGTCACTGGCACAATTTATTATTCAGAGTGCAACACCAACCAGCCAGATCAATGAGAAAGCTTGGAATGCGTTATTTGTTTTAACCTTAAACCTTGACATAGAAATAAAACTGAATGAGTTTTATTAGTCAAGCAAGTCGAAGACTCATCAAAAATACACGAGAAATGTGCTGCTGTGCGCAGTCTCTGAAGTCTGGGACTGGCCCTTGATTTCTTAGAGCTGTACAAGGAAGGGCAGTAGCCTACTATGGCACTGGGTCCAACTCAGCACAGGGGAAATGATGCTGGGGAAACTCTGCAAGCATGGCTGGTCTTGCACTGAGTGCCCTTCACCTGGTTTTCATTGAACACTGTGTGGCAGGCACATAGTGGCCACCCCCACCAGGCCAGGTAAAGGCTAAATAACAGTAAGGAGATGGGGGTTTGTCAAACAATGCCAGGCCACAGCTTTATTGACTACTAGAGTGAGGTAAGCAGGGTTGGGTTGGCATAGGGTCAGAATACGCTATCTCATAAGACTGAAACCAACACTTAGTTCTTTCTTTGTGTTATTTGTGTGAGTGAATGATCCACCAGGGGTGCTTTTGAGTAATCTGTTCGTAACCCTCAAAATAGTTCAGTACATGATGTGATCTAGAGTAAAGCCTCTTCTGATTGTAAGGCATCCCTGTGCCAGTACTTTTGTCAAACATAACTGCCATGAAGAGAACGCTCTGGGTTGGGGCCAATGTTGGTCCTACTCAGTGCAGGCCCATTGAAATTAATGGGCATAAGTTAATATCCATTAATTTCAATGAGTCTACTCTGAGTAGGACCAACATTGGGTGCAACTTCCTGTATTGCCTACACTGCATTTTCTTTCTGTATAGTCTGCTTCTGCCCTACTTGCCATTGTATGTTACAAGACAGTCAATTAAAATAGAGTGGTTCTTAAGTCATGTGTAATATATCCATTTTCTTTATCAAGCCTGCACCAAACATTAATGGAATTAGCTGTAATTACATGGGAAATGAGCAGCATTTAACAGCTCATTTTCAGGTGAAGAGGAGCACCTAATACATGTCTGAGGCTTCCCCTCTTTATTTTCTTCAAATATGCACCGGCATACTTGTACATGCACAAGTAATTCTTCCATAAGCTTATTACTGTAGTCATTTCTAGTTACTAACATTTCAACATGGACCCAAAAATAGTGGAATTGTATTTCCAGCTTCTCCATCTAGTCATGGAATTGTTTCTGAGATTGTGCTCAAAGGCCAGATTCTTATAACCAGTAAAAGGTGTTTTAAAATAGCCTAATGCATGTACATAGTTTTCTACTTCCATGGGATTGATATGCAATGGGAGGAGGAAAAAACTGTGGCAATTGATTGGTCCATTACTGGCCCACGAAGGCTCATTGAACATCCAAATAAGCATGCACTGAATTGCAATGAACACTTATCACTTGTAGAACCAGCAGTGTTTCCCATTTATGACCCTGGAGAACTGCTGCACAGCAGTTTGGGGGAAATGGAAAAGCAGAGGAAAAACGTACATTATCAAAGTATGTCCTCCAAAACATTTATGATGGCCAGCCAGCCATTGAGAGTAAAGTGGAAGATATTTCTAACTTTCACCTGCCTGAAGCTAAAGGTTAAAGATGGGGTGAGGAAGGTGGGGAAAAGGTGCCAGCAGCAGTTTCATAGCCACTTCCACCTGGGTATGGAGGAGAAATTCAATTCGGTTCACATTGGAAGGCAAACCTACAGTTCTCTGTTTCCAATTTTTCCAATCTTGTATTCACATACCCTCCAACATTTCTTCGAAGAAAATAGGGATGTCCCATGCCATAATAAAAATGTTACTCTTTATACCCCACACATCTTATTGGGTTACCCCAGCCACTCTGGGCAGCTTCCAACATATATAAAGGTAAAGGGACCCCTGACCATTAGGTCCAGTCGTGACTGACTCTGGGATTGCGGCGCTCATCTCACTTTACTGGCAGAGGGAGCTGGCGCACAGCTTCCGGGTCATGTGGCCAGCATGACTAAGCCGCTTCTGGCGAACCAGAGCAGCGCACGGAAACGCCATTTACCTTCCCGCCGGAGCGGTACCTATTTATCTACTTGCACTTTGATGCGCTTTCGAACTGCTAGGTTGGCAGGAGCTGGGACTGAGCAATGGGAGCTCACCCCGTCACGGGGATTCGAACCGCCAACCTTCTGATCGGCAAGTCCTAGGCTCTATGGTTTAATCCACAGCGCCACCCGCGTCCCACTTTCCAACATATATAAAAACATAATAAAACAGGTGCATCACCAGCAAGAGAGAAGCAACAATACCACCAAGCCTAATGTGGATTGTACCCACGATGATGTCACCACCCCTGCTGCATTTCTTAATGTAGACATTTTAGAGCTACAAATGAAAGGAAAACAGAACCTTGTGTGCCTTATTGTGGCATAAGATGCATTTGACAAAAAAAAGGGTTGCATGCCCTGAGAGTTTATGCCATGATAAATTTGCTCCCCTTGAAGGCGCCATCAGATTCTATTGTTTTTGCTAAACAAACTAACTGGAAAATGAAATACAGATTGTAGTTACAGACAAAAGACAGGAGGAAAAGGCAGAGACATTGTGCTATATACATGGTTCCTCAGTCTAGAGGGGCATGTCATAAATCCATAGAAGCAGAAGCATCTTGAGTTAAGGTTATGAGAAGTCGTATAACTTCCTGTGTCAGTATGATGCATGGTAACCTCTAGAGACTTGCCCAAATATATCCTTTTCATTACAAAAAAGGGGTGGGGGAAGTAACTATGTTTTAGATAATTCTTTGCCAACACATAAGCTCTAAGCCTTGGGAAACGGTCCCTGCACTTTCTACTTGGCATCTTGTTTTGAGACTGGATATGTCAAGCAGAGGCACAACGTAAACAAGAAGAAACAATTGCTAAATAGTTGGGACTGGGGAGGCTGTAGCTAAAGCATTTGAAAGCATTTGTCCTGTCAAAGACATTGTGTATTAAAGGCGGACACACAAAATAGAGGCAAATAGCAAACAGTGCTGAAGAAAATGGTCATTTATTTATAAATGCAGCATTTTAAAATTATTATTAATATTATTATTATTATCTTTCATTTATTAACTGCCTTCTAGGCTTCTGTCTCAAGATAGTTAAAAACAGTTAAAAGCATGGAAAAACAAACCACAGAGACATTTAAAACCAGACTAAAACGCAAATGAGTGGATAGCTCAGTTGGTTAGAGCATGGTTCTGATAACGGCAAGGTTCAAACCATATATGGTTTGAACCTCATATTCCTGCATTGGACTACATGATCCTCAGAGCCCCAACTCTACAATTCTATGATTCTATTAAGTGGACAATTGTGGTAAAGGCCCATTTGTCAGAACAAAAATGTCTTCATTTGTTTCTGGAAAGTGGGGAGAGTAGATGCCTCTCATATCTTGACAGGAAGGCTATTCCACAGAACAGAGGCAGTCACGCTAAAAGACCTGCTCCAAGTTGCTGCAGGGTGAGCGTCTAACTTCTTTGGAATTGTGCCCAATATGTTTCAAGTACAACAACTCTTCATCAGAGAAACCTTACAAAAACACAAAGAATAGAAACAAAAATTAAAATGTATTATATAATACCTGTATACCTGAAGCAGCATCTCCCCCCGAATTGTTCAGCCCGGACACAGAGGTCCAGCACCAAGAGCTTTTGGGCAGTTCTCTCAATGCAAGAAGATAAGTTACAGGGAACCAGGCAGAAGGCCTTCTAGGTAGTGGCGCCTGCCCTGTGGAACACCACCCCATCAGATATCAAACAGATTATAATTTTTTGTTAGGCATCTGAAGGCAGCCCTGTTTTGGGAAGCTTTTAATGTTTGGCATAATTATTGATGCTGCTGTTGTTTTTTGTTGCCCCCCCCCCCATATTTTTGTTGGAAGTCGCCCAGAGTAGGTGGGGCAAGCTCTGGGTGGAGTATAAGAAATATTATTATTACAGTGGTACCTCGGGTTACAAACACTTCGGGTTACAGATTCTGCCCACCTGGAAGTAGTACCTCAGGTTAAGAATTTTACCTCAGGATGGGAACAGAAATCATGCTAAGGTGGTACATCAGGTTAAGAACGGTTTCAGGTTAAGAACGAATTAAGTACGTAACCAGAGGTACCACTGTATCTGACAACTAGATGTTACCGAAAACATGGGGCTTGCTGCCAAAATTACCGCTCCAACCTTCCTCTTCCCAACAATGTATAGCAATGAAGCATGTGATGTGGCATTAGGCCAGGGCACACCAGCTCCCCACATTTGCATGCAGATCCCACATTTGTTGAAAGCAAGAGGTAGAAAGGGGATTGCTTCTGCTGATAACATCTCCCTGAACGCTGATGTTAATAACGGTCTCTCTCAATTACTAGCGGTTGTTTGTTCAGTGTTATGCAAAAGTGCCCCACCCACAGAAATCTGTATGCATGTCGGGCTCTCCTTTGTAATTAAAATGTTAGAAGAAATTGGTAGATCAGGTCAATGGCTCATCCTGCTCTCTCACAGAGGGAGAGGAGGAGAAACTTAAGAGGCGGCCACTGATTCAGGTGCTGGAGGAGACTCTTGAGAGTCCCATGGACTGCAAGAAGATCAAACCTCTCCATTCTCAAGGAAATCAGCCCTGAGTGCTCACTGGAAGGACAGATCCTGAAGCTGAGGCTCCAATACTTTGGCCACCTCATGAGAAGAGAAGACTCCCTGGAAAAGACCCTGATGTTGGGAAAGATGGAGGGCACAAGGAGACGACAGAGGACGAGATGGTTGGATAGTGTTCTCGAAGCTACAAACATGAGTTTGATCACATATGGCCAATTGATATTCAAAGAAAGAGGAAAATGGAAAATGAAACCATATGAACAAGTTAAAGAACATGTATATGACTGGTTGCATTATTTTCAAATAAATGAAATGTTTAGGAAAGACATTAAAGAATGTGGTTATGCAGACAAAGATTCAAAATTTCAGATAGAAATAATAAATAATGACTCTAAAATTTTATCTAAAGTTGTTGTTAGAATGGAATTTGAAGGATGAGGAAGTTAAATCGGTAATGATACATTGGGCCAGAGATTTTGGTTACAACATACAATTTGAAGATTGGGAAAGATTATGGAAGCAGAATTTAAAATTTACAGCATGTATGATGTTAAAAGAAAATGTTATGAAAATGTTTTATAGATGGTACATAACACCGGTAAAATTAGCGAAAATGTATAAGACATGTAATAAGTGTTGGAAATGTAAAGATAAAGAAGGCTCTTTTTACCATATGTGGTGGGAATGTAAGAAAGTGAAAGGCTTCTGGGAAATGGTATATAATGAATTGAAGAAGATACTAAAATACACATTTATAAAGAAACCAGAGGCCTTTCTGTTAGGAATTTTAGGAAATGAGATAAAGAGAAAGGACTGTAAATTTTTTCAATATGCAGTGACAGTGTTACTGGCTCAGAAATGGAAACAACAAGAAATACCGACGATGGAAGAATGGAGAATGAAGCTGTTAGACTATGCTGAGTTGGATAAATTGACTGGGAAGATTAGATATTTAAGAGACCAAAAGTTCATTGAGGACTGGGGAAAAGTTGTGGAATATCTGAAAAGTATTAGTGAGGGACAGATAACGCTAGAGGGATTTAAATAAGCACTGTGAAATTTGAGAAGTATTGTTAAAAGGGAATAGAAAAGGAAAGGTTTAAATAATGACAATACAAACTTAAGGAATGCGTAACTTAAATAATGACTATGGATGATTTACAGAAAAGCTGAAGGAAGTCCAGAAAAGAAATACTTTGTGAAAAACTGGATGTGAAATTATTGTGTGTTTTTTGTTTTTGTTGTAAATTAATAAAAATTATTTTAAAAAAAGGAAGACAGGAGTGCCTGGCGTGCTCTGGTCCATGGGGTCACAAAGAGTCGGACACGACTAAACGACTAAACAACAACAACAACTGATTCAGGAGGCAGTACTTCTACAGTGATAACCATTGCCCAGCTTGGCAACAATGCGCAAGAAGCAAGGTGGTCTAGAAAATTCTGTAGCATGCCTGTCTCTCCCAATGTTATCTACAGAACATTGCAAAGATCAAGAGCAAATTGTAAGAGAAGGGTGGAATTGTTATGCCTTTAAACGTAACGGCAAAATTCCCTTTGATGTTAAGGCAACTAGAATGCCACCATAATTTCAAACATACCTTTGTGCCACAGAAGCAGTTTAGTAACGCACTACCCTTTTAAAAAATAAGAAGAAACGCATGTTCAGACATCCAGTTCAATATAGATTGCTGCTCAAAACAGTTTCTAGCGCATACTTGCACGTCTCTGCATTTATCTAGATGGAGCTGCGGGGAACACTTAAGTTTTATGCTTTCATGGCCCTCAGATTTATTGCATGCAATTGGTTTTAGGAAACTGATGATAGAGTAATATTCAAGGTCATAAACCCTTTTTCTCTCTTGTAAAACACACTGAAAACTCTTGCAGTAGCCTAGCACTGAAGGGGGGGGGGAGTCCACAATGATGCATTCATTAATTAAAAGCATACACATAGATAAAAGACTATGCTTCTTAAAAGAGTTAAACAATCTCAAGAGGAGGAAGGGAAGAAGAGGATTCTGACCATTGTCAAATTTTGAAATTGCAATTTCTAATATCGTCCACATGGTGTGCCTAACGCAGAGATCCAGAGTAGGCAACAAACCGACCACGTGGTACTGAGACAGCAGCACAGAAGACCTTATGAATGTAATGATGCTGTCTTTTCCTCAGTGAAAAAGCTGTGCCCAGACGAAGCCTTGGTTCAGCAGTAATCAGTCTTGCTGCTCTTTCCTTCCTCTATACAACTGCCCTGCGGCCAATATAATATTTGTGATAGTTTATTAGGAGCACTGATAGCTATACAGGCTTGTATCGACTAGCACGTGACCACGTATACCTGCGGCATTGGGAAATAACTAAATAATTCATTTCAAACCTGGACATGGCGAGAGAAACTGGAGAGTCCTCGTGGCTCATGAGGAGACCCTCCTCGGAGCTTGAAGAGGAAGTCAGAGAGGACGGAGGAAGCCCTGAAGAGACCTGAGGCACAGTGGGGTTTCCTTTAAGCTGCCCAGCCTCCCCACCTAACAGCTGGTGTATGGGGTAGCGCAGCAGCAGCAGCAGCCATTTCTCATGTGTCCTCCAGCCTCCAGGTGGCCCCAGAGCTTCCATTTTAGTGGTGGAAATTTTGGGATACAGCATTTTTGGTATGGATTGCAGAGAGGGTGTTTGTAGGGAGCACAATAATCCTGTGAGGTAGGTTAGACTAGGAGATGGTGGCTGGCCCAAGGTTGCCCAGTGACTGAGAAGGGATTAGAACCCTGGTCTCCCCAGTCCAACACACTAACCATTATGCCACACTCCCGGTTTCTCATTTTGCTCATCTTAAATTCAGTTCTCCACATTTCCACATCAGTCTGCAATTTAAAAAACCCCAAAAACGAAACGTTCTTGTGAAAAGCCATCAGCATTTTAGGTTAATTTCTCCTAATACACACATTTTTGTATGCAATTTTGCATAATATACACAATTTTTGTAAAGCAATTTCCCCTGATAAAACACATTTTTTGGCATGTTGTTTTTCCCAATATATGCAATTCATGCACATTCCAACATATGCATTTTTGTACTCATTACTTGGGCTGGAGAACGGCACTGCCAAATGTGGACAAGTGTGAATTTTGGCTACATTTTGGTTCACATATTGTTTTGGAAAGTGAACATTTGGATCCAATTTCTCTGCTATCCCTACTGGTGAGTGGGTAGCCCTGCACAGGTGTTTATGTCTATATATGGGTGTGCATATTCAGCGCTGCATTAATTACCAAGCCCAAAGAACATGGAGCGCATAAGTACAAAAAATGTGTGGAAAGCACATTTCACAGGAACCACAGAAGAATACCAGAGAGAAGCCAAAACGAAAGAAAAGTTGCAGAACTACAGCAGGCACGCCCTAGGATCATAACAGAACATATTGGCTCTACTTCGTTCATGTATGGTGTCCTTTCGGGAAAAAACCAAAAAGAATATACTGAAATGTGGATGGCTCCGAGTATGTCTATAGTATGTTCAGTTTTATTCAATCTATTTCTTTCTTTTTGGAATCATTTCAGTACAAGCTCATTCATGTCACATCTGAGGCTAAGAAAAGAAGGCCACATTTATCTCAGCTATATTAGCTTGCTATGCTAATGGAATTCTAGACAAAAATGGAATAAGAGAATAAT